TTTGACTGTTTCAGGCCCCTCTCTGAAACTGTCATTCTATGTCGCTCAATTTTTGAAAAAAAAAAAAATTATGTTTTCTTATGAAATGATAGAGAATCTTTTCCCGATGGTAATGACACCAAAAGTTCGAAATTTGGTCGAAAACTCATGGAATTATGCTCCCGCGAATTTAGCGGTCTCAGCGACATATGCGTATCGGCGATTTCGCCGAATTTGAGCCCTATTTTCAGCCAATTCCATTGTTCCAGTTGACCAAACTCATAGCTATTTCTTTAGAACTCCATTTTATCTATCAGCTGAGTACAAGAAACCTCCCATTTACTAATTTGGACTACCCAATATGGTGGTCAGAAATTGGCAATTTGGCCAATTTCACGCAAACTAAAAAAGATGCCAATTTCAAAATAGGGTCCAGAATAAACAAGGTAGACATTCGTGGCACTAAAATAACATATGCTCTGTTCATTAGTCACATCTCTAGGCCCCTCTTATATTATTATTGCTTTCTATTTTGATTTTTATTCATGCAAAAAAATACAAAATTTACTGTTATGCAGACTACTGCATTATTGTAAAAATGGTATAAATAATATCAGTGCACTAGTGAAAGAATATTAGACTCCCCAGTTGACATGTATTGGACATGTGGTGTGATTTATTTACTCCTGAACATTGGTAAAAATCGAACATTTCTGCTACTTTGAGCTCAGTTTCAAGGTCGTTTTCATCGTCAAAGTAATGAAAATCATCTCTATTTCTGTAATATGTTTTCCATTTTATCACCTAAGACTATGAAAACGCGAATACAACGATAAATACTATACGAAAATACACCTCAAATTCGGCGTTTTATTCCAAAAAAACGATCAATTTTTTTTTTCTCATTACGCAATGTGTGCTGCAGGATTTTTTTTATGTGGTGCACACTGACCACACAGACCCATTATCTCACATGTGGGCCTACCAGCTTTCTCCCGCTTGATTTGAAGCCACTAGAATTATTGAGTATATATACGTCAGAAACATTGGCTCGTAAGACGTATTTATACGTCGAAAACAGTCAAAGGGTTAATGCCACTAGGACCAGCTTCAGAGTCACCTCTCGTTCCTTTATGACTTTCCTAAAGTGGTTCACAACATTGTCAGTGTACAGGTTGCCAACACGGCTTGCAGTAGCTGTGTCAGGGTGATTTTCATCAAAAAAGGTTTGCACTTCAATCCACTTTGCACACATTTCCTTTATCTTAGAAGTAGGCAACTTCTTCAATTTCTCTCTCCCCTCCTCCGAAGCAGTTTCCTCAGGTCTGCCCTCTTGCTGTTCAAGATGATCTAGCAGCTCATCAGTGGTTAGTTCTTCACTGTCCTCCACCACCAACTCTTCCACATCTCCCCACTAACCTCCAACCCCAAGGGGCTTCCCCCAAAGCCACAATGGATTCCTCAACTGGCATTAGGATTCTCAGGGTTAGCCTCAAACCCTTCAAATCCCTTTTGTCTACACATTCTGGCCACAGTTTTTTCCAAGCAGAGTTCAATGTCCTCTTAGTCACTTCCTCCCAAGCCTTAAACCTATAATGTTTACACAATTGAGGATGGTAAAATGATCTTTCCAAAACTCTCTTAGAGTCAGTTGAGTTTCTGAGGTCATTACAAAGCACCTTTCAAACATAGCTTTTGTGTACAGTTTCTTGAAGTTGGAAATAACCTGCTGGTCCATGGGCTGCAGGAGAGGAGTGGTATTAGGAGGCAAAAACTTCACCTTAATGAAGCTCATGTCCCTAGAAAGTCGCTCTGCCAAGTCTGAAGGATGACCAGGAGCATTGTCTAATACCAGGAGGCACTTAAGGTCTAATTTCTTTTCAATTAGGTAATTTTTTCACATTGGGGGCAAATGCATGGTGTAACCAGTCATAGAAAAAGTCCCTAGTGACCCATGCCTTACTGTTTGCCCTTCACAGCACACACAAATTAACCTTGAGGACATTGTTTTTCCTGAACACTCTGGGAGTTTCAGAGTGATACACCAATAAAGGCTTCACTTTGCAATCACCACTATCATTGGCACACATCAACAGAGTAAGCCTGTCTTTCATAGGCTTATGTCCTGGGAGTGCCTTTTCCTCCTGAGTAATGTAGGTCCTGCTTGGCATTTTCTTCCAAAACAGGCCTGTTTTGTCACAATTAAACACTTGTTCAGGTTTCAGTCCTTCACTGTCTATGTACTCCTTGAAGTCCTGCACGTATTTTTCAGCCGATTTGTGGTCCGAACTGGCAGCCTCACCGTGCCTTATCACACTATGAATGCCACTACGCTTCTTAAATCTCTCAAACCAACCTTTGCTGGCCTTAAATTCACTCACATCACTAGTTGCTGGCATTTTTGTAATTTGTAATGCAACTTCCTAGCCTTTTCACATATGATCGCTTGAAAGATGCTGTCTCCTGCTATCTGTTTCTCGTTTATCCACACCAATAAGAGTCTCTCAACATCTTCTATCACTTGCGATCTCTGTTTCGAAAACATAGTTGCACCTTTGGCAAGAACAGCTTCCTTGATTGCCGTTTTCTTGCCCACAATAGTAGCGATGGTTGATTGGGGTTTATTATACAACCTGACCAGCTCAGAGACACGCACTCCACTTTCATACTTAGCAATGATCTCTTTCTTCATCTCCATAGTAATTCTCACCCTTTTTGCTGTAGGGTTGGCACTAGAAGCTTTCTTGGGGCCCATGGTGACTTATTTTGCAGGTGCACTCACTGCAAAGGCTGTGATAATATGAAATGTTCCAGTTGTTGTATGTTTGGAAGCGACCGCGGTGACTGGCTGGCTTGTAAACACTGGCACCCAAGGGACAAGTGATGCGCGCTCAGGCCAAAGTGGACGCTTATGGTACGGAATGAATAGTGCTGGTCGGGTTTTTAAGCGCTAGTTGAGGCAAAATTTTTGCTTTAAAATGTATCGCTAGTCAGATTTATCGTGAATCGATGCCATCGCTGGTCGCGGGTCCACTGTATTCTTTAATTTATTCTGTTTTGTCTGGATCTTTGTCTCAAGTACAGGTACTCCTCACTTAATAACCGAGTTCTGTTCCTATGACTAGGTCATTAAGTAAATCGGTCGATAAGCGAGGAGCTGCCCCCTTAATGATATTTCAAGCATATTGTACTGGTAGTGGGTTTGTGTCACCATTCTTTAGATATTGTTTTAATGTTACCTTTGCACCATTTATAAATTTTTTAGTGTATTTTAAAATGTTTATACAGTAGTGTACTGTATACTGTAATAATAGAATAGAGGAAATCAGCTCTAATATACATTACGTAGGTTTGCATACTGTAAATAGACGTAAATACAGCTGTTCGTAAGTCAGCATGGTCATTAAACAGGCAGATCGTTAAGTAAGGAGTGTCTGTGCATTATTCATGTTATATAGGTTTGTCTAGTAGGCCTACAAAATATGAGATTATTTATGCTGAATAATAGTATTTTGCTAAATAGTCTTCATTTCTTTGTGTACATTTCTGTAACTGGGTGACAGGAGCAGAGACTTAAACGTAAATATCCTCATTATTTCCTCCTATTTACAGGAAGTTGAGGAAGAGAGGCTGAATGTTTCAGTTGGTCACCACCTACAAGACACATTGCAAGTTTGTCAGGATGAATTTAAGAAGCAGGAAGGCAAGTCATTGGAAGAGGAAAGTTGTCAAGAAGATTTGCTTGGCTCTCAGAAGTGTCTACACTCAGGGTATGAGTCTCACTCTTTGTCATATCTTAAAAAGTATTACACACAAAAGAAAAGAAGAGAGCTGATCAAAATATGTAAACTGAAAACCACTGTAATGTCTCAGAAGAATACTATTCGAACTTTATGGAAGAAGTTAAGATTTGAAAGGAAGAGAAATGTGATGTTATGTGAGGAACTTGCAAAAAGTAGAAGTGCTGAAGGCACTGATAATTTTGAAGATTCTAAATTTAATGGGGTAGATAAAAAGGTTCGGTTAAGTTCTAATAAAGAATCCACTAGACTAATGAGAAAAAGAAGTAATACTTGTGAAACTTTATCCTTAAGTAATAAGAGAAGATATGCAGAAAAGATGAAAGATTTACTAAACAGAGAATATACAGATACTTATATTTCAAAGAATATTGGTAATGGAAAAAGAACTCATTCAACACTAATTGGTAGTACTAGTTCTTGTACTTCAGAGAGTGAACTTCGATGTCTTATCCAGGAATTCATGATGCGTGACGATGTATCCCAAGTGAGTAGTAAGAAAACTTCACTTTTCGGTGAGACAAGCCCTTTACGTTATAGACTTCATTATCTTACAGTGCTTCATAAACGTTTCATGGCTGACTGCTTTAAAGGTTGTTCTTTCAAGACATTTTGTAATTACATTCCATGCAATGTATTAAAGTGCAAGGCAGAAGAGATTGATTCTTGTTTATGCATTACATGTCAGAATCCTGAATTAAAAATAGAGAGCATGGTGAAGAGAAGATTATTAAGTATCACCACAGATATTGAGGAAATTATTAATGATGAAGGTGCTTATGAGTTATTCATCTCGAACTTAAAATCCTTAAGGTCACGTAATGCTCTTTTAACTTATTCAGTTTGGACTGTAGATGCTTGTGGAAATGGCCCACCCATTCCTCAGAAAAGAACAGTAACACATCCTTTGAGTGAAGTAACTTCATTGTTGGAAAATGAACTGCATTCCCTAATGGATCACATGAAGCGTACATATCAGCAGTATGAGGCTGCTTATGAAGCTAAGTGTGAGGCAGATTACTCATTATACCATGCTGTTATTCAGACTGACTGGGCCCCTTTAATCATTTTACATTCTGTTGGTGAAAATGGTATACCAGAACCTCAAAGGGTTATTAGCCTTCAGTGTGGCTATATGTGGTCAAAGACAGAATCAACTGGATTTGTAGCCTTGTCTGATTCAAGAGACAGAACATCTGCAGCAGTTTGTGCGAGTTTGGATAAGGTTCTTAACAAATTAATCAATTATGGAATGAAAACGGTGACGTTTATTGTGGACCCACAGATGCATATTTCTGGAGTTCACGAGTATGCTCGAAAGAATGAAATTGAGGTTAAATGGATTTTTCTTGGAACCAGGGCATGATCGTGGTGTGGCAGAAGCAGTAGGTAATCGCATCACACAGCTTATATGTGATACTATTAATGCTAATGGAAGTAGTGTTATTCGTACTGCAAAAGATGTATTCAATCTAATAAGTTCTCATTCAAGTAATCTAGTATACTTTTATTCCGCTAATGACATTTCCAAGCAAAGAGAATTGCTGCACTTAGAAAGTTTTTCTAAGAGTGGAAATAAGTTTATAAAGCCAAAGATTTTAGTGCCACGCCAAGTTTCAAATTCCTAAGGAGTGACATTGCTCTAATTTAGTTCATTGTAATAGAAAGTGATTTGAAAATGTCTTTCATTTGTATCATATATCCATTTAATAGGAGAGTTATTGTAAATCTTATTTAAGTTCATGATCAGGGTGATCTTTAACACTTTCTTCCCTTAATATAACTTGCTGTTACTAAATTAATGGTTTGTGTCTTCTCGATAATGGAATGAATGTGTGCTAAGTCTGTTCTAGCCATCTATGACTGTTTGTAAAGAAATTTACTACAATGTTCTCTCAGCACTAATTCTTTTGTATTTTAAATGACTGTATATATGTATATGTATTTTTTTTTTAACACATCGGCCATTTTCCACCGAGGCAGGGTGACCCAAAAAGAAAGAAAATCCCGAAAAGAATGAAAAATACTTTCACCATCATTCAACACTTTCACCATCACTCGTACGTAATCACTGTCTTTGCAGAGGTGCTCAGATATGACAGTTTAGAAGTCTCTCCAAACTGCCAGTATCCCAAACCCCTCCTTTAATGTGCTGGCATTTTACTTCCCATTTCCAGGACTCAAGTCCGGCTAATTGGTTTCCCTGAATCCCTTCACAAAATATTACCCTGCTTATACTCCAACAGCTCGTCAGGTGCCAAAAACCATTCATCTCCATTTGCTCCTATCTAACATGCTCACGCATGCTTGCTGGAAGTCCAAGCCCCTCGCCCATGAAGCCTTTACCCCCTCCCTCCAACCTTTTCAAGGACGACCCCTACCCCGCCTTCCTTTCCCTACAGATTTATATGCTCTCCAAGTCATTCTACTTTGTTCCATTCTTTTTAAATGACCAAACCACCTCAACAATCCTTCTTCAGTCCTCTGAATAATACTTTTAGTAACTCCACACCTCCTCCTGATTTCCACACTTCGAATTTTCTGCATAATATTTACACCACACATTGCCCTTAGACACAACATCACTGCCTCCAGCCGCCTCCTCGCCGCAGCATTTACAACCCAAGCTTCACACCCATATAAGAGTGTTGGTACCACTATACTTTCTTACATTCCCTTCTTTGCCTCCATAGATAACGTTATTTGTCTCCACAGATACCTCAATGCACCACTCGCCTCTTTTCCTTCATCAGTTCTATGGTAAACCTCAACTCCCAACTCCTCAACAAATCAACTCCCAAATATCTGAAAACATTCTCTTCTTCCATACTCCCTCTCTCTAACGTGATTCCAGTTTTTCTTTATCTAAATCGTTTGACACCCTCATCACCTTATTCTTATCTATGTTCACTTTCATCTTTCTACCTTTACACTCCCTCCCAAACTCGTCCACTAACCTTTGTAACTTTTCTTTAGAATCTCCCAGAAGCACAGTATCATCAGTAAAAAGTAACTGTGTCAACTCCCATTTTATCTTTGATTCCCTATAATTTAATCCCACCCCTCTTCCAAACACCCTAGTATTTACTTCTTTTACAACCCCATCTATAAATATATTAAACAACCATATTGACATTGCACATCCCTGTCTAAGACCTTCTTTTACAGGGACATACAGTAGGGCCCCGCTTTATGGTATTCCTCTAATATGGCAATTTCAAATTATGGCCAAAACTCGCTATACGGCTCTCCCTGTCTTTCTAATATGGCGCGCCCCACCCAGTTTGTTTACATTCTCTATGAGCTCCACGTCTCTCCATTATGTCTGGAAACTTTCCAAAATTTCAAGCATTTTAAAGTTACAATATTTCATATTTTATATTATTATTATTATTATCATACCGGCCGATTCCCACCAAGGCAGGGTGGCCCGAAAAAGAAAAACTTTCACCATCATTCACTCCATCACTGTCTTGCCAGAAGGGTGCTTTACACTACAGTTTTTAAACTGCAACATTAACACCCCTCCTTCAGAGTGCAGGCACTGTACTTCCCATCTCCAGGACTCAAGTCCGGCCTGCCGGTTTCCCTGAATCCCTTCATAAATGTTACTTTGCTCACACTCCAACAGCACGTCAAGTATTAAAAACCATTTGTCTCCATTCACTCCTATCAAACACGCTCACGCATGCCTGCTGGAAGTCCAAGCCCCTCGCACACAAAACCTCCTTTACCCCCTCCCTCCAACCCTTCCTAGGCCGACCCCTACCGCCTTCCTTCCACTACAGACTATACTCTGATAATTATACTTATGTGTACCTGTACCTAAGTAAACTTACTGTGCTGGCATGCAGGTACACATTAAAATCACTAAGAGTGTCTTATGTCTTGAGGATGCCATATTAATAATGATAATAATAATAGTCAATTTGAGGCACATTAAATGTCATATATTACATTAATATACTCATTTTCATTAATCCATCTATGATATTTTTTTCAAAATTATATAATAAACCCACTACATAACATGTAAACATGATAAATACACCCCACAGTAAAATAAATTTACATAAATATGAGATGTTTTTGCAGTCGTCTTGTCGGTGTCGGAAAGAATAACGTTTTCTATAGTTCAACACCAAAGAAAATGTGTACACAATAATATTACTGGGGTAACTGTAGAAAATTATTCCTTTTGTATGCCTTCACTCAGAGTGTCATTTCTTTTAAAATTGGTGTTACATGAGAATGGGAGTGTTGCTCTTTATTTATTCTACTTTACCAATGTGGAGACAACTTGTACACAGTGTAAGGTGTTTGTATTATGGTATAAGATTCACAGACATGGGAATAAACGTGTATTAACCAAAACCAGATACGCTTACACCCCACCCCACCCCCACCGTTGGAGGGGTCGGGGTGGCCTGGCTGGCAACCATACCTACCACACCTGATTTCTTACAATACATACTACTCATCTTACCCTATATTAAGACTACAAATATTTTAAGATACAGTGGAACCTCGGTTTTCCTTTGCCCTGGTTTTCATCAAATTCGGTTTTTGACGACTTTTTTAGTGAAAATTTTGTCCCAGTTTTCGTTCATCACCTCGGTTTTCATTGAATTCACAGTGGTTTGCCATACCAAACGTGTGTGCCTGCCTGTGCCTACACAAAATGCCCCATGTTTTCTGAGTCAGTCTGGCTTTGTTTCTCATCGAGTGAGCATTACCCTGCATGTTCACCCGAAACATTTCGTAATCATTGTTTTTTGTGCTTGTTTATTGAGTGCGACTGCTAAATAAGCCACCATGGGGCCAGAGAAAGTTCCAAGTGCCAGTCCTTTGATAAAGAAGGTGAGAAACACAATAGAATTCAAGAAAGAGCTCGTAGCAAAGTACGAAAGTGGAATGAGTTGCAAAGTTTCGTGGAGAAATATCACTACCACCCTCTACAAAGGTAGAGGGTGGTAGTGGTTATGGTAGAGGGTGGTAGTGATGGTGGTAGATGGTGGTAGTGTTGGTGGGATGGGGTGGTAGTGTTGGTGGGAGGGGGGTGGTAGTGTTGGTGGTAGTGGGTGGTAGTGATTGTGGTAGGGGGTGGTTAAGTAATGGTTGTAGAGGGTGGTTAGTGATGGTGGTTAGAGGGTGGTAGTGATGGTGGTAGAGGGTGGTAGTGATGGTGGTAGAGATAACATCTCCTCCCTCTCCCCTCCTCACTGTCTTCCATACACCAACAAGAGTCTTCAATAAAGGTAAAAGTGATGTTACATGTTCATTTATCCATTTCATGTTCATTTTATCCATTTCTGTTCATTTATCCATTTCATTAGTCTGTTATATTTATTTCTCATTGTTGTCTGTTTGTAAAACTATAGTTATACTCTATAAATGTAGTTTTTGTTAATACTTTTGGGTGTCCGGAACAGACTAATTGGATTTTCATTATTTCTTATGAGAAATGTTGCTTCAGTCTTCGTCAAATTCAGTTTTCATCAGACTTTCTGGAAGAATTAATGATGAAAACCAAGGTTCCACTGTAAGTAATGAGTGAACTGTATATCCATTTCATCGCTCTGGGGCGCTTTAAACCCGTAAACGGTCCAAGCAGACCTAGTTTACATGGTAGTGCAACAAAGTAGATCTACGTTTTTTTACGTATTTTCAAATATAACAAAAAAAAAAATAGATCAAAGTTTTTTTACACGTTTTCAAATGTAAAAAAAAAGATCTATTTTTTTACGTACTTTCAAATGTTGAAAAAAAACGTATATGTATATACGTTTGGACTGTTTACGGGTTAAGTGTCGTAGTGTATTACTTGTGGGTGGGGTGGGGGTTGCCTGGCTGGCTACCATATCTACCACCTGATTCTTACATAAATATTACTCATCTCACCCTACATTAAGACTACAAATATTTTGAGGTAAATAATGAGTGTACTATATGTGTATTTTACTTTTTTATTGTTTTTAATGCCTAGTTCTATTGCTAGCTTAATATATGTTAGTGTAACCTTGTTATCGGCATTTATATGCATTTATAAGTGGAAAAAAAGAGCGTTCCACTTTACGGTGATTTCCTCTTTACAGCAGTAGCTTGGAAAACTAACCTGCCATATAAGTGGGACCCTACTGTAATCGCCCTCTCTCCTACACACCCTAACCTGAGCCTCACTATCCTCATAAAACTCTTTACAGCATTTAGTAACTTACTACCTATTTCATACACTTGCAACATCTGCCACATTGCTTCCCTATCCACTCTATCATATGCCTTTTCTAAATCTATAAATGCAGTGAAAACTTCCCTAACTTTATCTAAATATTTTTTATTTATTATAAACACATTGGCCATTTCTCACCAAAGCAGGGTGGCCCGAAAAAGAAAACTTCCATCACCATTTATCCATCACTGTCTTGCCAGAGATGTGCTTACACTACAGTTATAAAACTACAACATTAACACCCCTCCTTCAGAGTGCCGGCACTGTACTTCCCGTCTCCAGGAATCAAGTCCGGCCTGCCAGTTTCCCCGAATCCCTTCATAAGTGTTACCTTGCTTACACTCCAACAGCACATCAAATCCTAAAGACCATTTGTCTCCATTTGCTCCTATCTAACACCTCACACACACTTGCTGGAAACCCCTTTCACACTAAACCTCCTTTACCCCTTACTCCAACCTTTCCTAGGCCGGCTCCTACC